CTTTGTCTCCTGCCACGTTTCCCTCCTTGTGGTCTTCGACTAACAGTAGCACAATTTCTGTCGGCACCCTGTTTGTCATCAGAACCGGTGGCAGTCATTAACCCAGGCCTTGACAGATCCAGTATGGTGTCCCTTATATGAACTTACATGTTAGTTTTGGCAAAAGCATTTTATGTCGGATACCCTTCCTGACACAATCCTCACCATTTACCAGGGTTCAGGACAGGTACAAGAGATACACTGGCTAGTGCTCCCTAGTGGCTGGTTAAAAATAAATAAGTGCATAAAAATACATTGAACGAAGTTAGGGGGTACATTAATTATGCTTATTAGATTATATCATTACCACGTTGTAAAAAAACAAATAATTTTGACAGTTTTATCACATTCTTATATGTCAAATGCTCACCAACAGACTCTTCAGGTGCTCAGAGATTTGTAGCTCCACTTAAAGCCAACTCAATAATGTCTGCAGAGTCCTGTGGGATCTGTAAGGTGCCTTTATGTAAAATCTATTTAAGATAAACAGTTTTTATTCCGATCAAGGGATTAACATAGAATTCCCCACTTGCAGGACTCAAAGTGAGTGGTTTTATTTTAAATTGAACTTTGAAGTTGTTTTTTTTTTTTCCATTAAGATCGACGAGCGGGCAGCACGGTGGCGCAACTGGTAGAGCTGCTGCCTCTTAGCGAGCAGGTCCTTGGTTCAAACCCCGGTCCAGGGGCCTTTCTGGGTGGAGTTTGCATGTTCTCTCCGTGCATGCGTGGGTTTTCTCCGGATACTCCGGTTTCCTCCCACAGACCAAAAACATGCATGTTAGTCTGATTGGTAACTCTAAATTGTCCCTAGGTGTGAGTGAGAGAGTGAATGGTTGTTTGTCTCGTTTGTCTCTATGTGGCCCTGTGATGGACTTGCGACCCATCCAGGGTGTACCCCGCCCCTCGCACAGTGATTGCTGGACATGGGCACCAGCGACCCCCGAAACCCAAAATGGAATAAGCGGGTAAAGATAATGGATGGATGGAAGATCGACGAGCTTTATAGTCGTGAATTATTGCCTCTTGTTCTTCTCCTTTATGTGGTTACTTTGCATTAATTATTTTCTTTTAAACACCTTATCTTAAAAGGTGTTATTATTTTTATGCTGTTCTGTGTTCACTTCAAACTATTTTTTGTGTCTTTTAAATAATCACAGAGTGGATTGGTATTTTAAATTAGCTTAAGTCATAATACTGTGGTGTGTTGTATCTTCTGCCTGAAGAAAATCAACAATTCTGGCTTATTTGAATCTGACTCCCCTGTTTGGCCTCAGATGCAGCCGACTATCAGCTTTTTCTTGGGACACGGGTAAACTAAAGAAAAAGCTTGGCCTTTTGCAAACCACCCCTCCCCTGAGAACTTCTGTGCAGGCTTATCAGAACTGCTGGCTGAACAACGACAGCATCAGGACTATATGGCCTATCTGAAAGTGCTTCGTGGACAAACCTTAACGTCTTGACGTCAAATGCATATGTAATTGTGTTTATAAATGTGTTTGCTGGTAGAGTTTTTTTGATGTCTCAAATCGTCAAGCGATCATTTTTGTAATACCACTATCATCCTCATAGCCTTTTACCTTTTCCTATCTAAAAAGTATTCTGATAAAGAATAAGAGGCCGCACTCTTGTAGCAGCAGCAACGTGCACGCCGCCCACGTTTCGGAAGATTGTACGAACATCATTTCACTGTATCCCGGTACAATGATAATAACGCTTAATCTGATTCTGAGCTTCTTCACTGAACTAACAGTTTAGTTCAGTTGATGTGTCCGGTGTGACCCGTGGGTCAAAATGAAAACAGAAGAAGCCCAAAGCTTCATGCAGCATTTCAACTCTGCAATATCGAGTTCAAATGGGAGGATGTCAGGGGAAATAGGCTGCCTGTTTGTGCTGCACTCAGCAGATTGCAGTCAGTCAGGTAGATGCTGAAGTTTAAATAAAAAAAATCGTCTTCACAAATTATTACATAGTGTTATACTCCTACTGTCCACTCAGACATATAAACTGAGGTTATCAGAACACTAAAGCCCCAGGCCGAAAGTGTCCCAGCTAAAACAAGGGGAGAAGAGCATTTAATATCTGTGGACGTCCCACTGGGGAATTCTACAGGTCACCTGAAAAAATAACCCACATCTTTTTCTACATGGCATCTGCGGTAGAGCTCAACTGACTGCAGCTCTTTCTGCACACAGAATTTCAACACATCCATCCCAGCATCCAGTTTTAGGTCCCGAGTTTCCTTTTCCCTGGGGGGTAATTAATACAGTTACCTTCTCACTTCCTGCTGTTTTGTGCTCGGTGCTTCCTTTTGTTGAAAAGGTCAGAGCCCAGGTATGATACATGGCTATGTTCTGTACTCGACATCCACATAATAACCCATTTTATGTTTCTAACTAATTGTTCTTATTTCTGGGCTTTTGTCACTCCAGGAGATTTGTTTAGTGGAATGAAGGTGAACACAGGTGCACTGCATCCACATTTAGCCCAGTTTTGGATTTGACACATCAATGCTTTTTGACGAGAAAGTCACCACAAAGTGATGCATTGACACTCTGGTCTAACTGCTGTCAAGAAGGTTGGCATATACAGTAAAATATGTCACCAAGTGCCCGCATGTTTCTTTTCTTTCTTTCATTTTTTTATGTAATGGGACCCAAAGGTCTTGTCTCCTGTCTGGTTCAGACTGAGGTACAAAAAGAAAACCCTGCCAGGCCTGGCTCAAGCACTTAACTTCATTTAACAAGCTCATAAAGAAATGTGTTTAATCAATTATCACATGCTGTTTTAAAAGGAAGGCGATCGTGTAATTTTCTTTAGGTTTGCTCATTTGTCTGTTTGCAAAAACTTTCAATAACCAGCCGATGGATTTCAATGAAATTCTTGCAAATGAATCATTGGATGTACATCTACAGCTAAGTGACAGTTGGAGTCCACACTAAATCAAAATAGCCACCTCAGCTAATCAAATTTAGAGAAATGGCTGTATCTTACTGAGTTCTGCAAGGGACATTGGAGACAAATAAAAATTAAATAAAAGCAGGCAGAAGACTCAGCCTGCAAAACCCTCTGTCCCCTCTATCTTTGGTAAAGAAAGAGCAAAATACAAACAAACTGTCTTAATGTTACTTGCACTCCGCTCATTAATTGAGCAGGACAGAAACTCTAGATGAGCAGAGGCCTCAATCTGCCAGAAAAGAAAAGCTTGACTCAGAAATCACAGGAGTAAACTAATCATGAACTGAAGGAAATGCTAATGAAAAATAAAAATAAAACACTTGATGTTGAAAAATGTTCTGTCCTTTGTTGGAGCCAATATTCAGTGTTTTACAGTTTGAAAATTGTTGGATTGTATAGCTGGATTATTGAGCATGGCCTTTTTTTTATTTTTTTTTAAAATAAGTACATTTGTCTAAAACATCCTTAAACTTTATATAAATTAAGATTACAAAACTTAATTGTGGGCGGCACAGTGGTGTGACAGAGTTGTTGCCTTTCATCAAGAAGGTTGTCGGATCGAATCCCGCCCTGAGACCTTTCTGGGTGGAAATTTCATGATCTGTTTGTGCATGCGCGGGTTTTCTTCAGTGTCCTCCCAGATCAAAAAACTGTATGCTAGGCTAACTGGTAACTCCATAACCTAACCCTAACTGTGAATGGTTGTTTGTTTCATTTGTCTATGTGTCCCTGTGATGGACTGGAGACCTGTCCAGGGTCGTCCCCCTCCTCTTGCATGTTAACTGCTGGACATGGGCACAAGCGACCTCGTGACACAGAACGGAAGACGTGGGTAAAGATAAAGGATGGATGGATGAACATAATGCCGTTTTTTTTTCCAGCTGACGTCATTGGCTAGTTGAAAAAGACACTAAACCACATTGAGAACAGAAAAGTGAGTATTCTTTCTCTGAGCCACAAGATCTAGGATTATTATTTACTTTAATATCTACTTGGTTGAAATCAAAGCATAGTGATATGAATCCACTTTTTTTTTTGCTTTGTTTGCACTCCCAAGACAAGGAGCGCAAGTTCTCTCAAGAATAATTACTCTGCTGGAACACAATGCATGTACTGCACCTTGAAACCTTTGCATGGTCTTATAAAAGTAATTTGGATGGACGGATAAATGGATGGATGGATGGACGGATGGACGGACGGACGGATGGATGGATGGACGGATGGACGGACGGATGGATGGACATAATGACGTTTTTTCAGCTGACGTCTTTGGCTTATTGAAATAAAGATACTGTACGCTAAACCATGTTGAGAACAGGAAAAGTATGTATTCTTTATCTGTGTCGCAATATCTATTATTATTAGTATTATTATTATTATTATCTACTTTAAAGTCTACTTGGTTTAAATCAAAGCATAGTGATATGAATCCACATTTTCTGCTTTGTGTGCATCTCGAGACAAGGAGCACAAGTCCTCTCAAGTATAATTACTCTGCTGGAACACACTGCATGTACTGCACCTTAAAACCTTTTCATGGTTTTATAAAAGTAATTTGGATGGATGGATGATGGATGGATGGATGGATGGATGGATGGATGGAT